GTCTGATAAGAAACTGCTAAACTGCATGTCACTAAAGGTAAGAGTTGTTTGGGTTTTTCTTATTTGCAGTTTAATTTGTGGCAAAAAAAGCAAAATCTTAGCAATGTAGTTCATCAAGTAGAATAGTAACTCTCAGAGAATACTCAAAGCATTGCCTATTATGTAAACTATGATGCCTTTACTTGAAGTTTTTCTTAAAACTCCAGCCTCTGAAATGTTGTGAATAAAGAAATATTTTTGCCTGCTGAAAACAGGATCTATAAAAAGTTTAAAATCTAAAAGGCAAAAAAGATTTTAATCAGTAATATTTTAAAAGATTTCCCTTTTAAAAAACCCCAATGATTACATGAGGCTTGACTCATAGTTTTTAAGCATGGGATTGCTAGTGCTGAATGGGAAAAAAATATTCTTGGTCTACCCTCTTTCCGTAAAACCTCTGTTTCCAGCACAGGCATATACAATGCCTATGAGGTAGAGTTCTGCTGGGTTTCCTGGTTCCCTGCTGGTGTGTGACCAGCAATTCAGTTTGGAATTCAAACAAAGCAGACCACAAGCCAGCTCTCTGAGGGGCCCTGACCCTCAGTAACTCCCAGCACACGCAGACCTCACCACTGTATGCCCTGCTGCCTTCCCGCCCCAGCAGATGGGGCAAAGCAAACAAGAGATGTACTGTGGACTTCCAGGGTTTTCTCTTTCTATAGAGAAAACAAGTGTTAAAATGCCATATTTGAAATTGAGGTGCAAACCACAACATAAAATAAAAATAAGATATCTCCCATGCTGGAGGAGCACTTCCATGTTAGTATCAAGGCCAATGGAAAGCTTGGCTCCGTTCTTTGTCTTTTTTGCCCCACCTATGGAAAACAGCAGAAAAATGTGGAAACATTGAGTAAGAATGAACTGCGGAGTGTCCTTGTGTTTATGGTTTGGCACAGAAAAGTGATACAAAATGAATTCTCTCCACCCCACCCCTTGATATATTTTTACTGCTTCCTCCTTTATTCTTTCTCACCATTTTTCTCTTTCTTGCTCTAGTGTTTATTCATCTTGTAAAATATCCTCTCCTTTCTTGCCTTAGGTTTGTTATGTGTGGAGGTACATAGTGTTATATTCTATATCCATAAATATTTTACTTTATTGGTTTTATTTTATTTTACTTTTTTAATTATTGTTTTCTATTTGATGAGAGCAAATAGTTACCTAAAGGTGCCTACTTTCTTTACTGCTCCTATCAGTCTGATATCTTAATATTCAAAAAAATCCAATACACTGCTCATACATTGTTACTGTTATATTTATTTCACATGTATTTGTCTAGTTTCCTCTAATGATTCATTTTCTATTTAAATTCCAGTAATATGGCTCTGTCCTTTCTCCAGTTTCTACTCACTCTCCTGCTACCTTGTTATTAATTCCTTGTAGTTACGTTTTGTCCTCTCAGCACCATGCTTTAGCTGTCACTGTCTCTTTGCTCCAGGATATACCACTGCAGTTCTTGTGGATCATTTTCTAACCTGCTGATTTTAATGTGGCAGATACAGCCCAGTAATAACAATGTTTGATTAAAAAGAGATTAAATTAATAAAGAAAATAGTGGAACATTTTAAACACTATGAAATTTGTGGCATTTTCTGCTACTTAGGTTTTTTCCACAAATCTTGAATGCAAGTACTTATCAGCACATAAATTACAATTATAGATGTTTGCCAGGAAAGAAAAATACGGTAAGACAATTGAACTACAATTTTTTAGATCAAAGAATAGGTTATTAACTTTCTGAGTGTGATCATGTCTTTTGCTGCTGTCTGTCTGCATTGAGGTCATGAGGCTGTTATTTGAAGATAATGGCATTACTCTTTTGCCTCACGTAGCAGCATTTGTGATTTCAGATCTAACGGCGCTTTACCTTCTCTCCGCTCATGACTCATGGCTGACTCACTACCTTTAATCATTCTGAAAGCAAAGATTTTATTTTGCTCTTCTTTTAATCACAGTGCAAAAAAAAAAATACTTTGAAGGAAGGTAAAGTGTTACATACTGCAGCAGTGTAGGTATGTAACAATGTACTTATTTTTGTAAAACCTCAAGTATTCCCAGTTTTCTATCCATGACCATAAACTAGATTTCACAGTGGTGTCTAACAGAGGAAAGTCTGATGGTCAGGGATTGCTGGAAGAAATTAAAGGCAAGTTTCTGAGTTTCTGAGAACAAAGTCTGTCATTGAAGGTCAGATCACCTTTATTTTTATTTTATATATTAATTATTTTGTCTGAAATATATCTGTAAGAGAAAAGTAATGTCTTCCTGATTTAATGGCCAATAATAAGGTATATACCTGAATAAATTTTTTCTTTGCTAACAATGTTCCTATTATTCATGAGAAAATCTATGTGTCTCATGCCTATAGTTTATTATGATTAATTTTGCCTGATAATTGGACTGTAGTATGTGTGTAAATGGCCTTATTAATGAAGAACAATTATCAATGATTTGTGCTACAGGGGAAGAATTATTCTTCAGTATTATTTTCCCCAGGTTTTCTCCTTGCAAGAAAGCCCAGGGGTAGAGTTAGAATTTGGCTACATAGTGCTAGGTATTATAGGATCATGAAAACTTGCTGTATTCTACTAATGGCTTCCTCCTTACACCTCTTTATGGAAACCTGTGGTATTTTTCCCAAGGAATCAACCAGCTTTTATGATGCTACATGCAAAACAGCTCATCTCTGAGCTGGCTGAGCGATATCTGAGCATTGGCAGAGATGGGCATTTTACTGTGTCAGGCACAGATACCTCTCAGCAAGGTGAGATGACAAGTCTCCTTTCCTCAGCATTTCCAGGCAGGGAAGCACAGATGGACTTGAGCAGCAAAACTTGCAGAGCAAGAAAGGAGCACAGGTTATTGCAGTCTCTGCTGGGGGAGAGTGTGACCTGGCACAGGGACAGTTACAAGCCTATCATGATTACAGGCCCATCAGGCACAGAAGTGAACAGGTCAAAGTCACTGTCATGCAAGATAGATATTTAATAAGAACAGATATGACAGAGAAGGCAGTCCACAAAGAGTTCCTGTGGCCTATTTGTGATGATGGTTGCTGTTATTATGCTTTCTTTGGGCTATTCCAGTTTAGGAATTTCTCTTTGAATAAAGAGGATGAAATGGTATGCTAGTGCATTTGAAGACTTGACATATATTCACCATACAAGTCGTTATGGTCCTATCAGATTCTATTGCACTTACATGCAAGATAAGGAAATTAACCAAGATAGACCACTAGACCTTGTAGCTGTGATAAATACATCCACTAAAGAGGGTAATTTAGCACATTTCATACTGTAATTTTTTCTTCTAGAATGATGAATATACTGGATTGTATACAATGATTGTGAATCACCATCAGAAACTACTTTTTCTTAGTGGATGCTGAAGTCCATTATTTAAAAAAAATTCTTCCTTTTGAATTTTCAGAATAAACAAAAGTTCAGGTGATATTTACTCTAGATAGTATTTTACAAACAATAAAGTTGTAGGCAGTGTAACACAGAGTAGCAGCTATGAAGTTCATTTTTGTAAGTATGCTGAAGAAATTATCAGAGACGTCTTCTTGTAAGATTTTAGAGGGAAACAGTAGTGATGACTGATAAGTGTTAAAAAGAGTAATGAAATATTAATCAATATGCTATTAATATATGTAAAAGCAATTCAGCTTTTTAGTTCAGTTGCACAGTCTGAGCTCAGTCAAATTTGCCAAAAATGTGCACTGGGATGTTTTTGTTTTTTCTGGAAGATATTCTGGAACTTATGGAAAATGTAGTTATGTAGTCTAAATATACTCTGTGGAAAATATTCAACTATAAGGTCCATTTTCCTGTTGAGGAGATCTCAAGGAAACAGAATTAATACTGCTGAGTCCTTGAGCTTGTCTGGTTAGCAGATATACATTTGGTTTCTAAGATGTAGAGATTTATGTCTGAATTCTGACAGAATGGGATATGTAGATGAAGATTTGTGTTTACCAGAAGGTAACTGATCTCTAGTAACTGCAGTAATTTCTGGGTACCTGCAGTCATAACCTCCATGTTTTTACTGACTACATATTCAGCAGATGGTGAGGTTAAAAAGGTGCAAAATAATAATACTACATGGCTGTGTGGTTCAACTACGAAACAGCTTCTTAGGATAAGAGAGCTAAAATTGTATTGAAAAATATTTTCCTTTCATGTTCTCTATTTCTTATTTGCTTGTCTGGAGAAGATATGTTAATTTTTTTAACTATGCATTAAAAATTGTGCTAAAATTTTCAGCCTTTCATGGCTATGATCATTGTGAGCTTGATATTATTTTCTTTACCTCTATAGCAAATATGGAATCACAGACTCACAGAGTATGCTCAGTTGGAAGGGATCCACAGGGATCATCAGAGACAGTTCCTGGCCCTGCAAAGTCATACCATTTGCCCAAGGATATTGTCCAAATGCTTCTGTCAGGCTGGTGCTGGGACTGCTTCCCTGCGGAGCCTGTTCCAGTGCCCAGCCACCCTCTGGGTGAAGAAACTTTATCTTATATTCAGACTAAACCTTCCCTGACAAAACATCAGGCCATTCCCTTGGGTCCATGTCATTGGTCACCAGAGAGAAGAGATCAGTGTCTGCCCCTCCTCTTCCCCTCACAGGAAGCTGTAACTGCAATGAGGTCTCCCCTCATTCTCCTCCAGGCTGAAGAGACCAAGTGACCTCAGCTGCTCCTCATCCAGCCTCCCCTCAAGGCCCTTCACCATTATAGGCTGGGTAAAATCCTGTATTCCAGGTGTTGGTGAAAATCTGATTGTTAAAATCCCATTAATGATTTTCTGCGCTATAGCAATTGCTATTGGAGAATGCTGATTTTGGCTTTGCTTCACCTGCATTCCTTGAAAGGTCTCAGTGCCTTTCTTACACCCCTTACAGGGAAGGCACAATGGGGCAAGCCAGCTATGCTGAGGACCCTGGTGCCATCTCCTGTGGATGCAATACCTATGCAAGATTGTTTTAATGTTCAAGAGGGATGCTGTACAGTTTAAGCCTGCTTTCTGTCTTCCCATTTTACAGAATCTCTGGAGGTGGTCACTCAAGTAAACTGCTTAGACACCATGTGTGAGTACCTGGAGTCTACTTTTCTCTAATGAACTGAGTCTAACATGAAGAGAGTATCACAGATAAATTTCCTGCTGTCAGTAGCACACCAGAGAAGATTAATAAGAGATGAAAGAATAACTCCTCCTCACAAGAAACAGCAGGTAAAAAGCAAATGGAAATGGCACTTGCTGTGTTGCCTAAGAGCTAATTTTAAATTACATGTACTCAGGTCATGTCATTTCTGGTGGGAAGAAACCTTGCAACCTGTAGTGTTTGCTCATGTGTGGTGGTCTCCAGCGTGCCCTAATGTTTATACCTTATGGAGGTTCCCATATCCCAAATCAAAGCTGGTCTGGAAATAAAAAAATATGAAAATAGGAAGATGAGAGAGAATCAGTAGCTTGTTGATATTCCTACAGTGTTTCACTGAAAAGAGCCCAGTCTTTGGCTGACATAAATTGAGTAGCTGTGCTGACCTTTGTGTTTCATTGTTTTTTTCTTTTTGTTTCATTGAATTCCCTCACATCCTAAGCTCATTAAACTGTGGCTCAGCCAAATTGTTTTAAAACATGTTTTAAAAGGTAACTGCAGTAGCATATTGTAAATTATGTAGCTTCAGGCATAATTTTTTCACAAAGATATTTGCATTCTAGCACAAAGGTCCTCTAGACTGTTGCCACACACTTCTCTTTAGCAGAACTGTTCAGGTGTCTGTGTCTTTGAATTAATGCACAGGTCAGGCGTTCTAGACAAAGGAAGAAGACTTCCTACATAAACAGTGGGGATCTAGGCTGGACAGGCCATCCTGCAACAAATTATTCAATTATTCTCTTTCATCCTTAAACTATTTGCTTGTAAATAGACTAGAAACTTTTTGGGCATATTTGTTGCTCAAAATAGTTTCAAACTGGAACAAGGTTCACAAGCAAGTCATGTGGAGCCACCAATATGGGAATTGTTTGTGCTGACATCTTGTGGTACAATTTAGTTTGGGGATGGGTCCTGATGCAAGGACAAACTTGACAAACTTGCACCAGTGAAAATACTACTTGTTCAAAATGACATTCACCATACAAGCTTGCAGAGATTTATAGAAAAAGCCGCAAGGTTTTTTGAATGTGGAAAGCCTCCCGTTCCCAGGTGTGTTCCTAAGAATCAGGGGCTATATGTTTTTTATTTATTTAAAAATAAAGAAATAATTTGTTTTAATTTTAAAGTAGCTAGTTTTCCAAGGCAGGAGAGCTAGTAGACTCCTCTCCACATCATATTGTAGAGGTATAGAGTTTACCTCCTCTTTCAAGCAGTATAAAAAAGAGATTGTTCAGAACAATGAAAGATTCCAATATTCATACAGAAAGCATGTGGGGTTTTTTCCTAAAGACTTAAGGGTTAGATAAAAGAACAAAGTATTTTCATGGTCAGTAAAAAAGCTTAGATTTCTGTAGTATGGGCAAATAGCTCTGAAATATTTTTACTTATAAGCTTTACTTATCTGTTTCAAGCAGTGCTGTCATGTTTTGACATGTCATTCCAAAAGCAGTAGTAAAGCTTCACAGCAGACTTACTCCAGATGTGATTCCGACTAACAGGAAAAAGGAGCATTTGTAAAACACAGCACAGTAATGTGCAAAGTGGGCTAAAGAAAAGATAGGTCATTTTTTTGAAGTTGGATGGGCAGAGAGGAAAAAACCTAACAGGAAACTGCTTATTAGCCCAAACACCCAGTAGGTTCAGTGTTACTTTCATGTTCAGTGAAACTATTAGATATTTTTGATCTAATGGTGAGGGTTTAAAGAATGAAAAGACATGCAGTCTATGGCTGGCAGCTGCTCACTTCGATGTCTAGCTTAATGAGTTGTGCTCTCATGCTGGGATTTGAAGCAGTCCAGCGAGTGAGGCTTCCCTGCTGTTTCTCTTTGACTGCATTATGCAACCAGCTCTCTTTTATATTTTGATAGTGACATCTATTGGAGCTTTGAAGAATAATATTTGGGAAAAAAAATCTTAAAGTATATTAGTAAAAGCAAAATTGTTGGACAATAAAAATTTCAGTTCAAAGAAAAACAGATATATATCTGTAGTCAAAACATACACAAGAATGAAAATACTGATTAAAAAAAAAAAAGGTAGCATTAGTTCAAATCAGATTCAGGAAGAAAAATGTGCCTTTCTCTTTTTTGATGATGGGTGAACTAAGAAACTTCCCCAGCTGTCTGAAGTTTGTTTAGAATGAACCCATCACTAAAGCTGTAACTTCAAAGTGAAACAAATGCAGTATTTGACTGAATTCTCTATAGATATTCTCAAGGCTTTGACAAATATTAACAGAACCCAATCTAACAGAGTGGGTACAGTAGCAGTCAGCCAGTCAGCAAAGACCTGACAAGCCTGCCTCATGAGCAAAGATGTCTGATGTCTCTGCTGTCAAAGGGACACAGCCATCCAGAGTAGTTGGAATGAAATTAGCTCTACTTTGAGTAAGCAAGCTATCTTCATGGATTATACTGAGAATGTGGCTTGTGTCTGTTTAGAGCTTACAACAAGGGTCCTAGACTTTTCCGGAAGTGTAAGACTGATAAACAATTTGTGAATGTGGCAGGTGGATTTACATTGCACTAAATTACTGAATGTATTTACATTTTTTTAAACATATAGGCACTGCGAAACAGCTCTAGCAGTCAGTCCCTGGTGTCAGGAGTAGGCAGTATTGAGTAATGCTACCTCACAAAACCTCTAGGAGAAATTAGGAGATATGAAAGGTGCAAGGAGAATGTGCTGTGGCAAGTCCTCAGGACTTCTTCAGGACCTTTTCTTTCTGTTTGTTCTTTATTCTCCTGAGAACTCTCAGAGTTCCTCAATGAACACTGGAGAAATGCAAATTTTCCTCAAGCCACCTCTCTTCATCCACATCTGGGTCATGATAAATATCTTCATATGAAAGTTTCATTTTCATTTTCTAGAAGTTGGGATTTTGGGGCTTTTTCCTGGCTTCTTCTTTTCTACAAAAATATGATAAAGAATTCCCTGTAGAAGAATCAGGAGGTTTCATCCTTGCCTCAGATTATAAATTTTGATAGGGTTTTATTTTGGTTTGGGTTTTTTTGCATATGATTTGATTTCAGTTAATTCTGATTTTTAAGGAAAATCTATTTTCTCAAGAAACCAAAGTTTTAAATGGGATTGTACTTCCTGATATTGTTTCATGTATCTTAAAATTTGGTTTTCCTTTTATTTATTCTGGTATGTCTTCCCCAGTAACAACATGGCTATATCCTATTCACTCCATTATGATAATAAACCCACACATCAATCAGGGAACTAGTCAGACAGGGAACTTACTATGAAATGAAAAGGTGAAGTATGATCTTAGAATAGCAAATGTAATTGATTCAAACAATCTAGTGCAAAACTACTTGACAAAGCCTCAAATTACTGTTTTCTGAACTGCTTCTTTTGCAGATTTCTATGCCTAAACCCCAGAATATACCACATAAAATAATTTATAATGCAGTTATTGTTTTCATATAAATCACATCCATTTCTCCTGCTGCTAAGTGAGAAGTGTTGAATTTTTACAGCCAGTGGTATGTTCTCCACTCTTGTTCAGCCTTTACAGAGCCTGTGGGAGAAATGAAATGTTAATGATGTTGTAAAGACACTTTTTATAATGAAAATATATCCAAATTAATCACACCTTACATTTATTCAAGATGAATTCTATCATACTCTTTGGTAGTTTCGGATTGTCTGTAAAAGAATAAAATAGGAAGTAATTAAGTAGTTTAGTTAGCATATTGTGACTTTTCTGCTCAAATATTACTACCTAAAAATAATCCTGGTTTGGTACTGTGTCCATTTTACTTTTATGGACAGTTTTCATGACATAGTTCAGGTGAGCAACCACTGCAGAGTCACTTCTCTCTGCTGAACAGTGCTTTCAGTTGCACTAATGAATATAAGGAGTGAATACTAGAAGCATAAAGTTTAATTTTCTAAGCTTGAAGATAGATATTCAGGGACGAATTTATTTAGTTTAAATTAGTAAAACTCACTAATATCTCTGCTGGATACTTCACAGGTAAGATCACAAGAAACAGAGGGATAGGGATGTCACAAGGGAATTTTATCTATATCTGTTTTCTGGTATGGCCAGGAGCTTCTAATATACCTGACTATTCTCAGCCAGACTCTGAAAAGGTATTTAGACCTCTGCTCTTCTATCATGCAATTGGGTCCATTAAGCTCAGAAAGGCTCCAGCCCGGTTTGCACAGTGCTGCGCTGATAAGCTCCTTGGAACATTGTGCACTGAGAGCACAGAACAGAGACATCCTGGCTGAGCCTGTCCTGTCTTATTAAAATCCACCTCCATCTCAGCTGTGACAGAGCACAGCTCTGTGCAGAGCCACCTGGATGCCTGCTCCATCCCTTTCCCCACTGTTCAGCCTGTAGGGGCAGCATGCTAGTTCAGGTACTTCACTAGATCCATGGTGATGCAACCTAGTAGAAAGGCACTGCTTTGAAGAAATCATCCCTCCCAATGGCACCTAAAGAGCTTTTACAAAGATAAAACAAATTATTATTATTATTATTATAAACAGAATAAAGAACATAAATACGCAGGGAAAGGTCTAAACCTAACTAAATGAACAGTTGTGATAAAAATATACTAGAAGTAAATCTGAAAGAATTGAAAAATAGAACTCATCAGCAAAGAAAACTTTACCTAGGAAGCTTTACACTAGTAAAGATCAATTGAGAGCTCCAAAATATTGAGCTCAAAAACTGTAAAAGGAATGGGAAAATCGATTCTAAAATTATGTCTCTATATCCAAATGAATGTCCTGTTTCAGTTTCAAATTAGGAGGAAGGCATAGAACACGAAAACAAAATGAGGACGATTCATGAGTTTGAATATATAAAAAGGAAATAACTCTTGGAAACAAAACTAGGGAAGCTTAATGAGTTCAGCTTTGGGCACCCATTATTTAGTCTTCCAAAATAATGAAAAAATAAGGATGCTTTTATCCCTGGAGAACAACAGAAACTACACTTATATTAGATAAAAAGAGGAAACAATTAATTTGATGCTCATTAATCTGACCTTAGAATTCAAAAAGTGTTTAAGAAGTGAAGAAAATTTTAAAGTGCTCAGGTAAATAGGAAAAACAGTAAAATGGTTAACAAAAGCAAGGTCGTTTCAGATTAAATTGCTGCCATTTCTCCATGGAGTGATTTTTTTTTTTTACAAGAACAGTGTATTCTATTATTTATCATTACTTTAACAATTATTGCAGTGTTTGAGAGAGATTGTGATAAATGCAGTAATAATGAAATATGTAAGGAAACAGAAAAAATAGATGACAATACAATAGATCTTTTCACTCTCAAGAAAAGGAATACAATTGTGTTTTATAAAATCAAAAGTAGAAAGGGATGCTCCTTCACTTCCTTTATATTGAAAAACAAATTGGTAACATCAAATGAAGTTGTAGGACGTTAGGTTCAAAAGAAAATGGAGTCCACCTACCACATAATTAAAGTGTTAACTTTACAGCTGTAGAATATTATTAAAGCAAAAATTGGTTTTGGAGTTCAAAAATACTTGAATTTATTGAAAAATTTTTAAAAAAATCTTTCATGGGCTGTTCAACACAAAAATCATCTACTTAGCTTAAGCAATTATGTGAAAGGGAAATTCTGGTCTCCTGCAGTTCACCTGTTCTAATTTTCTTGGATGAAGCTGATAAAAAACCCCATGGGAGTTAATATTAGACTCTTAGAGACTCAGTCTTGGGGTTATTATTATTAAACTTTTCTCTAATTACCTTGGCAGAGAATGTTTGAGTGAAGAAATGAAAATTAGCTGATAAAGCTGACAGACATTGGAACAGACATATCTGGATATAGTATAATGTTAAATAAATAGAATAACAGAAATGTAATGAACTCTAGTAATGTGAACAGCAATGTCATTCACTGAAAGGCTAATGACAAAAACCTGCTGCAAACTCAAAGGACAAGTGACTAAGTGTAATTGAGAAGGAATAACTGGGTTTGCTAGCCAGTTCTAGGGGTCTCTAAAGGATTGAGAAAGGAGGTGGTGTGCAATGAGAAATTCCTTGTCAAGGGGAAAGGCTTAATGCTGTTTTTGCAAGATGCTGATGAGATCCCCTCCATATAACCACAATATTACATACAGTTCCAGTCACCTATGTGCAGAAACAGGCAAAAAAGGCTATTTGAAGACTGTAAAATGAGTAATCTTTATAAGAAATAAACCAAAAGCTTAGAGGCATTAATATTGCTTGCCCCAGGCTGTCTGTAGATTGCATGGTAGCTGGAATCAGCAGGGAATTCCTCTTGTTCAGATTGAGGACACAATGCTGCTTTCAGACAGGCACAATCACCTGGCATAGTGAGGGAAGGATGGAAAGTTCTTGGTGTGTGCCAGCAGGTACTCAAAACACACTGGGGTGCACACCAGAACCTGAGAGAATAAAAGGTCAATTTCCATATAACTTTGAATCCTCAGGGATTAAACATTGAAAAACAGAAGCCTGTAAACTGATTGGCAAGGAAGCTAAGATAGAATGGGGAAAGTAATCATCAATAAATTTAGAATGAAATTTGAAAGTAAATATTTTGGTATTGCTTCCTAACACAGCTGGTAGGAGTATCAGTAGTAGACTGTAGTACCAGAGTTCCTTGCTCTTCCTGTCCTAAACAGAGTAATAGATACATTCTTATGGTACAAAGTGAGAGAAAGAAGTTTAATAGATGCTTCCTTTCTTGCCATCTCTTGCAAAAGCAGAATTACTCAACTAAGTAAAAACTCACTGAGACTGGGTGTCATTAAGTGCAGTGGTCTTGAAGGCCCAACGATGTGGGTGGCTGACTTGATGGGGTGAGGGAGACTGCTAGAGGAGACAAAAAAACCCGAAAGAAGTGAGGAATAAAGATTGCAGCTTTTGAGTGTCTTCCACCTTCTATAGTAACTGAATCACAGATGAATCACAGAATATTCTGAGTTAGAAGCGACCCACAAGCACCAGGGAGTCCAGCTCTTGAATATGAATGGCCCATGCAGGGGGCCAATTCAGTCCCATTTTGGGACTGAACCCACAATTTTGACATTTGCTATTAAGTAGTATTATCATGTATTTTTTATTGCATTTGAGGCATTACAGAGATTTCCGTAGGAAATATTATTGCTAAATTAGACTTATTAATGTCATCACTTGTAAATTCAGACACAAGCTTAGATCTTGATATTTACCAGCAGATGTGCTCAAGACGAAATATTTTGCAGATGTAATTTGGTGCTTGCAGCAAGGAGATGAGACTGACAGATGATGCACTCATATTTACAGAGTGTGGTTCCATTGTCCTGACACCTAGCATGATCTTCATTCACAACGAGTTTGATATCTGGTAAGTTTATATATAAATGAGGTTTTATCTTTAATAATCAGAATTTGTGGTATTTTAACAGGTTTTATTCCACTTATATCACAGAGTATGCCCTTCATTTGTGTGGAGCAATGTTTCCTAATAGAGTGTATATTTGATATACCCTTGGACTTGATTGATATTGATACACTTACTGCAATTCTTTCGCAAACTTATCAAACTATGTTCTCTCAACTTACATCAGAGAAACAGAGTGCTTGCTTACCAGTATGAGTCACTGGTTTTTGGGGTTTTTTTAACACTGCAGTATGTCTTAGATGAATTATTTTGTTTTCTGGGAATCTTAAATAGTACTTTGTTATGTCCTGTTACTGTTCTGCTTTTTGTTTAAATATTTTAGGATAACATTATTTATAAAAATCGGAGTTCTTTTCCTTTATTTAGTAAAGACACCAACAAAATTTTTCATTTAAGAAGGAGTAGAAATTTATTTCAGTTCTCTTTAACTGAGGTAAAGGTAGCATCTTTTCCCCTCCTCTTATTTATATTGCTGTGAGATGTGGATCCTTTACAATCATTCAGTCTTTCACACTGGAAAAAACTGAACGCCCTTATTTCATTCTTATCACTGCATTTCATTTTGTTTACTACTTTGATCTCCTTCAAGATGTTGCTTGATGCTGTGGTAATCCATTGACCTATTGCTATTACAGTATTTCACAGCTCTCCTTTGTTGCTAAGCTCCTACATAATTGAATCAGATGACCTTGGCAGTTTCCCTCTGTTAACACTGCTGTGATTTTTCCTTGAAATTTTGCTCTTGAAACTGTAGCAAATAAGAGGTCTAACCAAATCTCTACACTTTTGTAGATACTTCTAGTTAATTTGGGCTGTTAATAGACCATCCAGGGAAATTAGGCTAAACCAAATACAGCTGCCCTTAATATAGATAGTTCAATAGGGGAATTATGAGGAGGAGTTTTTTCAGTCTTCCTCAGACTCTTCACTAGTATAATGAAAAGAAAGGGATACTCCATCTGGAGGTATGTGTTATGACAAGCTGTTATAGTGGTATAAATAAAGAACAACTTTGCTTTTTACAGTCTTTTTACTATATAATTAAGAAGTATTTTGGTGCTTCTTGTGATGTTCTGGGGGTTGCTTTTCTCTGGTGTGAACTAGGGCAAAGGATCTTTGTCTTTAGTTCAGCAGCAGGTCTGCTTTATTTTGTTCTTGACTTCGTTTTTTCCATTTTTTGCCCTTGTCTCTGCCACTTGCTTGCTTTCTTCTTGATTTATTCTCGGACCTTTTTCCTTCAGCAACCTTAAGAGAGTTAAAGGCCTACTTTTAGTGGTTAGATTTTGGGATTTTTTTTTTTTGTTTTGGGGTGGTTTTGCCTCCTCTTAGAAATAGGCATTTAATTTTCTTGACTAATATTCAAATAGTTGGTAATACAACATTTCTATTTTCAAACCTGAGGGCTCTCTTCTTAAAATGTTTTGTGTAGCTTTTGAGTAGCTTCTAGTCTGATATAAATTTTGTAGAGAATAGCAAAACTCAAATGTGGCAATGGCCATGAGAGTCACTCTTCTGAAGCATCTCAGTGATTAACAGGTCCAGAGGGCTCTCCTTCCTCCTTCTCTTTTCTAGACTGTGCTGGCAGACACTTTTTCTTACTGTATTAAATGACAGTGTGTTATTTTGTCTGTGCCAATCTGTTATCTCTTTAGGACAGGGGTCATGTCTTCTTAGAATTTAAAACTATGAATGGCAATGCAAGAATAGCTCATAACTTTCTCTCTCTTTGCATATTAATTACCTTAGTATAGTTTAAGTTGTAAGTGTCTCAGTATGTGTCCTGAACATTATTTTTACTGAAGTGTGTCAATTTTCATTACATTAAATGAATACTTATTTAATTTCCTATCTCACCTCTGAGCCCATTTTGTTAATGGCAGGATTATTCTTGCATCCCTCTGAGTCTTGAATATTCTGCTTATTTTAGTATCGTCTGCAAATTTAATGGTCTGACTTATTACAGATTTATGTAGACCATTGAATAAAATATGAAAATCTGCTGGTATTAATCTACAATCCTGTGAGACTTCACTTCTCAGCAGCTGCCTTTCCATTTTCCATCCAATCCCCTGTTTTTCTGGGTAGTAAGTGATACCTTGGTACTGCTCAAACCTCAAGGCAGGCAGCTGCAAAAGATCTGGAGTCAACTGAACTTATCCCACTCTTACAGGAAAATCAGATGCTCTAAAAACCCAGACCCATCAAGGATGGGAAAGAGTCAGACTTCAGGATACAGACTTTCAGATGTGGATGCTGGGTCACCAGTGCTTGATATTGGGAGAAAAGTTTTAATAAAGATTTACTCCATCCCCAACAAATCTTTCTTAGAGATAACAATGATCCATCCTTTTGACTTTCCTCTGAACCTGTTTAAGACCCCTGCTAAGTCAGGACTCTTGGTTTATCTAGGCTAATAACATTTTTCATTTTTAAAAGTAACCAGATTTCTTTAACATGATTTACTCTTTCCATATCCACAATGACTCATAATTATTAAATTGTGCTTACATAATTATATCCTCTAAAATGATCTATAAATGTAACATCTCTTTCTTAAAGATCAGGCTCTGAGGAATAAAACTTCCTTGATTTATCTGTGAAGATAAAATGTTAGAGGTGTTCACATCAGGATTAGGCAAGAGACTGACAGCTCTGGAAAGAAAGGTTTGAAACTTGGTACTGGAAGGGACTTCCATTATTATTGGAGTAGTAGGGAATACAACACTTGTAGATTCAGGATCAGAAGAGCTGAGAATTAGCTTGGTTTGTGAGTGCATGAAAAAACTGTGAGAAAGAACTGTGTGGAGTATTTTTATGTGAAGATTAGAGACGTGTAATCATGAACAAATATAAAAAGACAACAGGCCTTGAAGTTGGAGGCTGGGGGGACTGTACTGGCCACCAGTTTGGTGAGCAAGAGTTAGGGAAGCCTGGATGTTAATGTAAATAAACTTAACTATATTATCACTTCAAGGAAGAGGGAAGCTGAAAGGTTGAATATGAGCAAATTAATATAAAGGTGTGGGGTTTTTCATTTTCTCCTGAAATATTCCCTGAAATGTATAATCCCTGAAGTCAGGGCTTAAAGCTTGTCTTCATTTTTGAAGTCAATAATGAAATACTGTAAAATATGACCACTGTAGGTTTGATTGTAAATCTGACTAGATGGTGTAATAAATCATATTGTTCCTAATAGCTAGAAAAGTAGTGCAAAGGCATGAATAATTTCTAAAAATATCATGCATTCTGGTCTGCATGTGGTGGGGCTTTTGAGGATGCTATATTGTCTATTTTGGGATTTTTTTAGTACTGTACTTCTGCCTTTGAATTACAAGTGTCTGAGTTATTTTCTGTTACAAATAGTAACAATTTAGAGAGCTGAAGTGTTCAATCAAGCGATGGAGGGAAAGAAGACAACTTGGAGAAGAGACTTAACAATGATGCATTTGTAGCACACAGGCTCTGAGCAGAAAATTGCTGCCTTATTACTTCATTGTGGGGAGAGTATTGGAATATGATCCCAATATTAGCAGGTAGATTGTGCCTGGGCTCGTCTGACCCTTGCTGCGGGGCCAAAGGTGGCAACTGTGGTGTTTCACTTCGGAGACACTTTTGGCTGGCTGGATGTTGCAGCTGGGCGCTGAAACAAGTCCAGGCTTGTAGAACCTCAGTTTACCTTTGGTGGAAAGGCTTCAGGCTAGGGTGAGGAGGAAAAGGAGACGGATTCTGTTGGAGGGTTTATATCTAGAGTTTATTCCATGGTCACAGACGTCTGAATCTTAGGTAACAGCTCCAACAGAATACTGAGCACATGGTCCTTGCTCAATTTAAACCCCGGGACAGGGGGAGGAGAAGGGACAGGTGAGGCACCAACCAGGTGGGAGGGGCAGGGTCTCAGGGGACTATGACACCCAGACAGGCCAATGACCCCAGGCCTGAAGAGCATCTTTGAACCTGACCAACCACACAATGCCTTGCTGGAATGTTAAGCCTGATTGACAGAACTCACTCAGCAAGGGGGCAAGGGGGAAGGGAGAGAGGTATTGCCACACCTGGGAAGGGACTGGGAAGTAAAACAGGGAATTGCAACACACTGCAACAGAAGAGGAGGAGCAAAAATTAGCAAGTAGGCCACTATGTAGTCAGAGCTACGTTCAAAACAAAACAACAGGGATGGTCTTTCACATATGTAGCTGATCTGTAGAACCTCTAGCCAAAGAATATGCTAAAAACTCAGGTTAGGCACTAGCAATGAATGTCTCCTCCATGAGCTTGTTCCCTGTTCTTATATTTCCTCCCTTATCAAGGACCTTTTTTACCCATTTAGCTGGAGTAGTTGATTTGTGTTGTGCTCAGCTGCAAAAAGCCGCAGCACACCTGTTTTGTTGGTTGTGGGGAGAGCAGAGATCTGGTGACTTCATATGTTCATCTGTTCCATTTTCTTGTTTGACATAACCTGTAAGATGTGCATTTAAGGCCGTGCAAGTGAATATTTTATAGTGCTGGTGTTGGAAATTGCCAATATTAGATGAGGTTGATTAGTTGTAATCTTCTAAATCCTTCTGTAGTGAGGTTGGTTAGTAGAAACCCTTTAAAGGGAGAAGGAACTCAAACTGCAACTCGAATAGTTGCGGCTGATATCCTAGGTTTCCCTGTAGGCCTTTCCTAGTCTTACCCTGTACTACTCTTTTCCTCGAGGACTGGTGTGCAGTTCTAGGCACCACAGTTTAAGAAGGCTATAAAAGTATAGACAGCATCCAAAGGAGGGCAACACAGATGGAAAAGGCTCTTGAGAGGAAGCTGTAAGAGGAGGGGCTGAGGTCACTTGGTCTGAGGAGACTGAGGGGAGACCTCACTGCAGCTACAGCTTCCTGTGAGGGGAAGAGGAGGGGCAGGCAATGATCTCTCTGGTGACAAGTAGTAGGATCTGAGGGAATGGCCTG